GCAGCACCTGGCGGCGCAGCGGGGGCAGCTGACGCCAGCGACCGCCGCCGAGGAGGCGCGCGCCGCGGCGGAGTACGCGGAGCGCGCGGCGGCGGCCCAGGGGCGGCGGCGGGCGCAGGTGGCGACGGAGCGGGAGCGGAGGGAGATGGCGGAGGAGCGGCTGGAGCGGCTGCGGAGGGCGGTGAGAGAGGAGCTGGGGGAAGTGGAGCCGTAAGCGGTGGAAAAAAGAGGTGCGTGCAGACGAGAAGTGCAGGGGGCTGGAGTATGAAGTGAGTGCAGAGAATTGAGCAGGAGAAAGCAAACACACGTGTGTCTTCTTTTTTCATGCCAACTTGGCAGTGGGTTTGTGGATTCAATTGTCCAATCCACTCTTTGATTTGAGTGCATCATCTTCCACCCCTGAGATCGTGTAGAGTGTAGACCTCCAACCGGTTGGACACGTGCTGTTAACGTGCCAGGATGCCGAAGAAGAGGAGCTAGGCACCGAAGAGGACCAGAGCGTGGACGTGAGCAGCTGGCTGAGCAAGCAGATGCTGTCAGCAGCTGGAGATGTGATAGTGTTGTGTTCGGCACTGGCCAAGTAAAGCAAGGACAACCAGTAAAACCTTCAAGGACCTTCAAACACCTTCATCTGATAAGGACCTTCAAGGACAAGCTGTCATTTAAGGACACCTTCAAGTAAACCTGATCCGGTCCCAAACGGTCCCCTTCCATGGGCCGTGGCCAACCAACCGGACTCGTCCGAACGGTGGGACCGAGACGGCTGATGCTGAGGCCCCCGGTCCTCGCCAAAGGCGTCCGTCTGCGACGCCGCGGACCTGGTGCCGAAGCATCTCACGACAGCTGCTCGGCATGCAGATGCGGTTGGTGCACGCTGTAGGATGAGCAGACGGCACCAACGTTAACAATGGCTTTAGCAGCGGGAGAGAGGGGTTTGGGGCTGAGACCACTGGTTGCCAGAGGGGAAGAGCGTTGTTGCAGAGTTCATTTTCAGGTGACATGCTCTTTAGCGGGGATGCTCTTGAAACCACGTGATTTTGCGGGGGGGGATGCTCTTGGATGACTACACTCCCGACACTCCCTGAAATAATCACTGTTACGTGGATGGCATGGCCCCTTGCATGACCATTTTCCTCTACAAGCAGGTGGTTAGTTCACTTTCATGATTGCTGGGAGTGTAGAGGGAAGGTGATGTCCTTCTCATCGTGAACCGATGCAACTGGCATCCTCTGCAGTTGGCAGGATGCGACGGTGGAGCCGGGATTCAGCAGCCCGAAGAGTTTTGGATTCAGCAGCCAGGGGGCCTCAGCGGCTGAAGTGCAGCCATCCTGGACTAAATGAGCCAATTCACAACAGGAGAATGGTGTTGGTCTGATAGATGGAAACGCTCCATGTTCTATTTGCAGGCTGCTTTGAGATGGGTAGCAGCTGGGTGTTTTGCAGAGGCATTCCATCTCTGACATCTCGGAACTAATCATGGAAGTGGAGTTTGATGGAGTTTGCCACCTGCTTGGTACTTCGGATTTCATGGTCATCTTCCCCATGCGGCCATGCCATCCATGGTCTTCCACGGCAGGGAGGTGGATTGGCCCTGCCGAGGCCCCAAGTCCTTGCAAGATGCGTCGGTGCTGACCGACGCGGCGCCGTTTCTGCCCTTGCTGCAGAGTGACGATGCTTGGGCTTAATGGGTGGGCAAGTGTGGATAGCTATCTGATAGCTTTCTTCCTCTTCCGTCTTCTTCTTCTGCTTCTTGCTTCTTGCCTACTTTCCCATTTGTTTGTGTAGGCTGGATGTGGATTATGTCAAATGTCTATGTCAATGTAGATGTGGGTGTTGTATGGTGTTGTGGTTGGGTAGGACTCTCCTGGAAAATGTTGCACAGTGGGGCCTCATTGCAATATCTTGATCGATGGCGCCCTGAAATCAATATCAGACATACATGCCAACCACTTGGCACACTCATTGCCAAGTCCTGCTGAGGGGGAACATTGTCCACTGGACCTATGGTTCTAGGATCAAACATGTTTTGTGATTCTTTTGACCTCTGATTCCTATGATTCCTCTGACCCCAAGGCGAAACCCTCCGAAGGTAGCTCGACCCTTCCACCAGGCCCACCACGCGACACCACCAAAACATTCCCTATATAAATCGATCGAAGCCTCGAGCGACCTCCTCCTTCGTGGTGCCCTCATTCTTCGCGCGTTCCCAGAGATGGAAGCCTCGACCTGTTGGACCGAACCGAGATCCCCGGAGGCAACATCCCCTGACATAGGTGGACCATCTCTAGTCGTCGATTTTCGGTTCATTTTGGGGGGGAAAACCCAAGGTCTTCCACTTGAAAGATCCACAGCCGCCATCCATCGAGGACGTGAAGGAAGTGGAGGAAGCGGCCAAGGCCTTGCTGCGGCAAGCCGCTGCTGAGGAGCTGACCTGAAAAGCTGGTTGTAGGTAGGAAGCAGTTGATGACAAGGGAAGGGGGGCTCAAGAAAAGTGGAGCACACATGCAGATCAATACTGTAAACAAACAAAACACAAATAAATGATAAACAGCTAAATACGTATACACACTATATGTATATACACACACTAAATATAACTCATATATGTATATATATATATGTGTATATATATATATACACATCTATTTACCGTATAAGTACGTGAGTGAAGGTTCGGAAGTGATACTAATTGCTAGGCTGGTGGCACTTATGAGGCCCCACCTTCATTGCGTGGGACGACGGCGGAAGACCCTTGTCGCCATGAAAACCACTCAAGTGTGAAGTTGAAGTTGAAGTTGTTGTTGTGTTGGTTGTTGGTTGTTGGTTGTTGGTTGTTGTTTGTTGGTTGTTGGTTGTTGGTTGTTGTTTGTTGGTTGTTGGTTGTTGGTTGTTTGGTTGTTTGGTTGTTTGGTTGGTTTGGTTGGTTGGTTGGTTGGTTGGTTGCTTGCTTGGTTGGTTGGTTGGTTGGTTTGCTTGGTTGGTTGGTTGTTTGGTTGGTTGGTTGGTTGGTTGGTTGGTTGGTTGTTGGTTGTTGTTGTTTCCCGAAATCCTTGTGCTGGTTGTTTGACACGTGGTGCTCACAGTGTCACACAACGGTGCGCAGATGCCTGCCCATCTCATGTCAACCCTCCTTAGAACTGGAGCCTCCCTCAACTTCACCGCACAGACCAACTGCCCAAAACGACACGAGACGGTTGGAGCTTGGCCGTTCGCCGTGCAGGAGTGGGGCCGTGAACGTGGAGGAGCTGCTGCAGGACAGATGCCACGGCGCTCGGAGCTGGCCAGATCGGAGGGGCGGGGCTGTCGTAGGAGGAACGAGGAACAGAGACCACCGGTGAATTCCATGTTTTGGGGGCACCACTGACATGAGACCTGACAGATTCACCGGCATTTCATTTTTGGCGCCATACATGTGGGGTCAGTCTGAAAAAGGTCCGTAGAGGCCCCACCAAAAGACCTATTGATTTCCTCAGTGAGGCTTGAGTGTTCACGGCCAAGCAGCAGAAACTTGGGTCCAAGAGCGCAGCTCAGGCCACCAGCCAGTGCGGCAGAGGCTTTGCCACTGCCCGGGCGCCTGTAATGCCACACAGTCTTGGGCTTGTCATGTGTCAATGCTGTAGACCAGATCTTTTGTTGAATGTCCAAGAGTGGGATTTGTATGGATTTGTGAAAACTCGGTTGGCTCGGTAGTCGGCAGGTTGGCGTCACAAGTAAACAGAGATGCCATTGACTTATTGATGCTAGTGATGCATTTAGCCTGAATCAGGTAAACTTGAAAAGCTTTGGAGCGAGGCCATCCTCCACTGCAGAGCTGGAGCTGCTTCGTCAACGGCCATCCACCACAGAGCTGGTTCAGCAGCTGCCTTGGAGGGTTTAAATGGCCAACTGGAAAGCATGTGTACGCGCAGGAAACCTGTTTCTTCTATTTGTTCAGCGGGCTGGGTCTAATTACTAATCATGGTGCACATTTTGAGTCGTTGGCACGAACTGTCCGTGTTTGCAGCCATCGGCCCCACCGCCGAGTCTTCGGGAGATCTCATGGCACAGCGAAGGCGGAGACGCCACCTTCTCCTCGGCCTGGTCGGCGTCTTGGGCGCAATGCGGCTGATGGCTGAGAGGATGGAGGTCGGCTTCGCGGGTTGGAAGATGGATCAGATGGGTCTTGGTCCTGGAGCGCTCCTGAGGCTGAGAAGGACTGAAGCTTCGGAAATTCAAGGAAAATTGAAGCAGATTTGGTGCAAACTGCTGTACCTAAGTATTTCCAACTGAGCTGCATCCAGTGAGCCATTTTTGAATGAATAAATTACTTCCATTTCAACAGCCGGGATGCTTCAGCTGGGTTCCCACTTGAGCTGCGGGAGGACAGGCGGTTCGCTGGTGCCACATGCTGCTACGGCAGAGGCTTCGACAGTAAGACCCTTGCAAGCACTTGGAGGATGTCTAGTAAAGAGCGCCGTTGGCCTGGCCTGTGGGAAGTGGGGATAGTGGGCTCCGGCCGACCTCATGCTACCTTCCCTCCCTTTGTTCAGCTGTGCATTTACATGCTTTTACCGAGAAGCTGCTTGGACAACATTGGACAACCCATCTACCTCCTAACCCCCCCCCAAGCAACAAGAAGCAACACAGTCGTTGGCTTGCGTTTTCATTGGAGAATTCGTTTTATTTCCACAAGGCCGACCATGGGAGACGCGCTTCAGGGAATTGGAGGCATTTGTCGAAGAGCATGAAAGGCTTCCTCGACGGTTCCGAGCTGATGAAGCTGAGACACAACTGGGCTTTTGGTTGAACAGCCAAGGTAAGCGTGTCACCTCGCAGCAAATACCATCCCGCCAACTTGAGAAATTGCGGACTGCAAGATCCGATCTCATCCGCAGGCGTGCTGAAGGGTGGATCACCGGCGACCCTGATGGTTGTTTCGAGGAAAACTGCCGAGAGCTGAGGGAGTACATAGAGATGAATGGCGAACTTCCAAGGTGCACCCCATCCGAGTCCGACTCTTCCGCCTTTCGACTGGCGACGTGGTTGCGGAATCTTCGAGCGAATGGAGCTCGTGCCATGCCTGAGAGGAGGAAGATGCTGGAGGAAGTGCACCCTTTAGTGAAAGAGCTCCTCCAGGAATGGGACGACAGCCCTCTGAAGATCAACAGAGTAAAATGGGAGGAAGATTTGGAGAAAGTACTCGACATCGTGGAGCAGCACGGGCGGCTCCCGAAAGCCAAGACTGAGAAACCTGAGTACCATTGGCTCTGGAGGCAACTCCGACGACTCGACACTTTGCCGCCTGAGCTGGAAAAGCGACTTCGTGGCTCTCATCCACTCGTCGCAGAAGCTGCCAGGAGGTCGGAACAGAAGGCGAAGGGTACAAAGGCCTAGGAGTGCGTAAAAAGAGTCGCGGCCATTCTGAGGGGCCCTGGCTGTCATTTGGGAAGCAGTGGTGTGAATCTCTCTTTGTGCCATGGTGTGTTTGTCTTCTCCTTGTTTGAAGCATGTGAGGTGGTTTGGTTTTTTCATGCTCAAAGATCTCAGCCAAGGCTTTGACGTCTTAAGTTTCAAACGGTGAGTGATACTCCATCCGAAGCCCCGGCGGCAAGCCTGGAACCGGACACCCTAGCCTAACGGGCCTAACCTAAACATCCTGCATCGCAGAAGAGAGACCATCGAAATGGATCAAACAGGAATTCGTGAGACAACCCACCGCCACCGGAGAACATGGGTGGTTTTGCATGGGAAGGGTGGACCGTGTTGCTGGACCAAAAATGCTACCCCACGTGGCACGGCGGGTTGCGTGGGACAATGTAAAACAATACAGCTGGTGGTTTTGCGTGGGCTTATGGTGGCACTTGGATATGACAAGGGTGGACCATCTTGCTGGACCAGACTGCCATCCCACAAAACATATATACAGACCATTACGGACGCATCCTCCAGCCCAGATAGGCTGCCCTCCATGACTTTCTGTGGTGGAACCTGGTGCTCCTTTCAAGGGAAGCTCAGCTGGCGCTGCTCCACTCAGGCCATCCTCCCCGGCGGAACTGCTTCGACCGCGGCTTGCCACTGAGCTGGTTCAGCCGCTGCCTCGGAGGGAGCCATTTGGGAGAGAGAGAGAGAGAGCTCTGACCTGATAAGAGATGGGCAAACAGGAAACCATTTTCAACGCGCAGAGAGTTGCAGTTTTCAAGCCTGCTTTCTGCAACTTGAGCGATCATTGACTTGTGTGACAGGACGTTTGCTGCAGATTTTTTGGCAAGAACATGTTCGATCAAGTTTGCTCCAACCAGTGCCAAGCTTGCAGCCACCGGCCCGAGCGCAGAGTGCTGCCGCCGAGCCTTCGGGAGTTCTCACAACTCCTGTGGGGCGGATTGAGAAGCACCTCGTTGATGGGCCCTCATGGCACAGCGAAGGTGGGGACGCCGTGGCGGCCACCTTCTCCTCGGCCTGGTCGGCGTCTTGGGCGCGATGCGGCTGATGGCTGAGAGGATGGAGGTCGGCTTCGCGGGGTGGAAGGTGCATCAGATGGGTCTTGGTCCTGGAGGGCTCCTGAGGCTGCGAATAAGGACTGAAGCTTCGGAAATTCATGGAAACTTGAAGAAGATTTGGTGCAAACCGGTGAGCCTTTTTGAATACATGACTTCCACTGGAACAGCGGGATGCTTCAGCTGGGTTCCCAGTTGAGCTGCCAGAGGACGTCGCTGGTGCCACACGCTGCCACGGCAAAGACTGTTGCAGTGAGATTCTTGCAAGCAGTGGGCGGAGCGAGATCCAGCTGGTGTGTTTCATTGATTTTCCTGTGTGATAAGCATTGTACTGGCCCAGTCCGTAGGCATCCATGGGGCCATGTTGCGCAAGTTGATTCAGGACCTACTTGATCCAATTCCCTTGGCACCTTAGCGCCACTTCCCTCCTTAGTCTCCCACCTAAAGCAATATGGACAACCCACCCAGCAGCTCCCCCCAAAACCAACACGGCAACCCACAAGCCATGGGCTCGCTGTATGATCACCAAGTCGTCGCAATGCCAATGTTGGCACCACGGTGGTGTCGGATAACTCGCTCGCTCCCCTTTTCCCCTCAATGGTGGCCTTGTCTTGAGGCCCCGAAGACCGCGACGCGGCCTTCATGGAGCGTTTGCGCTGCCTGGCACGGGAGGCGCTCAGCTGGAGCTGGCTCACTCCGCAGCAACGGCTGGTGTGGGCTGCGGCCATCGAGCTGGATGCGGTACCTTTGCAGGAGCATTTTGGCACTGGTGACACGGGGTGGGCCTTGCAAGATCAAAGGATCCTTGAAGATGGTTAAAGATGAAGTATCATTGCATGATTGACTGCATGATTGTTGGGGGTTTGTTTTCCTTTTGCTTGACCAATGTCTAAGGCCTCCTTTTGCATTCTCCAGACATGGTTTGGTTGGAAGCTTTCTTCTTGTTTGCCGCCTGGCAAGGAGCTTCCACCGTGGTTCTGGGAGCGGCAGAACATCACTCTTAGGCATCCAGGCACGGATGCTGAAGTCACCGGCATTCTGCCCAGGCTATGGTTGAACAGCATTTTCCCTCAATAAATCAATAAGCCTGACTCTGACCCCTTTGCCAACAAACATAGACCCAAGTACTCCGCGACCAAATTTCAACCCCTATTCAACTGTTCAAATCCGACAGGCACTGCCTCGGCACTTCGTCGAATTGTCCTAGTCTGAAAGTTAGCTCAAACCTTCTTCTATGCATGAGTCTCATGAGTCGTTTTCTGCCAGGGTTGGTAGTATACCTAGCCTATACACCTTACAGACCTGGCAGCTGCTTCGTTCGCTTGCCGCAGGCGTCGACCTGGTGAGCCTGGACGGCCGCCGG